CCGAAAATATTTTAAATTGTATTTCACTTTTTTTTAAGAAATTTTAACGGGGAAAAATTCAACAAAGAACGTTTTACAGTAAAAGATTTTTATTTGTATATTATTATTATTATTGTAAAGGTTTAATGAAGTGAAAATTTTATGCGAAATATTTTCGTACGAAAAACTTAGTGCAAAATGAATTGATGCGAGAATTTTATGCGAGTTTTTTGTTATAAACCTGGTAAATGGAACTTCTTCGGATAGATCGCAGTACCACTGATTTCGCCGACTAAGAGGATAAGAAGTTTCTTAGCCTTTTTATCCAGTGCACATATCTGCAAATAACAGAAGCCATTCATCATCTAAGCCGGGCCAGCAACGTTTCTTCTTATCTTTCCTAAATGGTTTTGGTCGTATCAGTATAAATCTAGATTATTCCTCTTTACGTTTAGAACTACTTTTCACAAGCCTATAATAAGGTATGCATCAATCTTGTGATGGGTGTCGAAGAAGTTCTTCGAGATGTATTAAAAGAAGCATACGAGCAGGGCCGCCGTAGCTCAGCTGGTTAGAGCGTGGGTCTAATAAGCCCAAGGTCGCAGGTTCGATCCCTGCCGGCGGCACAGGAGTTTTGTATTCTGTTATTCGAATATTTTACTTTAATATAAATTCTTTCGTTGAGAATTTCAAGCAAAAAGTGCAGAAATTTTATGGAAGATTTTTCATGAATTATGCGAAAAAGAAATGCGAGGATGGAATGTTTATCTATCATGCGTGAGTTAGTAAACGTCCGAAACGATTACTTGAAAAATCCAAAATCTTCGAAAATCCTTAAAATTAGCGTTCCAAAAATTCGATTCGCTTGCATAATTTATATGAATGGCTGAAATCACAAAAACTTTTTAAAATCAGCGATATTCATAAAATTTTACTAAAAATATTCCCTTCTCCGCAAACTATTTTAGTTCCACGTAGACTATTTTATTCTTTAACTCGTTTTTCTATTTCAAATAATATAAAATTATCGAATCGTTAAGCCATTTTCCCAGTTATCCTCGCACTCAGTGATTTTCACCTTCCTTAATCCTCTAATCTTCTTTTATATTATTTATATTCTCTTTTCGTAATAATTAATTATTGACCGAAATAGAATTGATAAAGAGAGCAATAAATTTTTGTGAATTATTAGCAAATATTTCGCGCAAAATGCCTAAGAATGGCTTGGGGAGAAAATGGCTCAGTGGGTTGTTACTCAATTGGGAGCTAAGATTCTCCGATTCCCCGCGAGAGTAAACCTGTATAAAAGTCCGGGCGATGCGATGACGACTCAGCTGTACTTCTATCGCCAAGAGACTCTCTGGCATATTTGTCCAATGCGACAAGTTAGAGGAGCGAGTTTAACCAGCAGTAGTGAGGACTCTTTAAAGAAAAATTTCCCTCAAAATAGAAAAAAACTGTAAGAATAAGTTTAATTTAATGCAGAAACAATTTTCTTCAATTCCATAAATATAAAAAAATAGTATTTTCCTTGATTAAGAAATATTTTTAACGAAATTTTAAAGGGAAAATCAAACAGTTAGCAAAAATTCCTAAATTCCATCAATCGAAATGAGACTTATAGTTATAAAAAAGACAATCGATTATTGAGAGGAATATATTGCAACAAATGTAGAAATTTGGTGATAACATGAAGATAAACGTTAAGGAAGTTCACGCATGATCCACTTCCTTCCTGATAAGCAAAAACTTATACGAGTATTTAGCTGATCCGATGAAATATTGTTCGAATTCTCGAGGTTTCTCGAATTTATTGCTTAGCGCAATTCGGGAAATTTTCGATGGTCTCTCGATTTGTGATATTTTACTGGAATAATAGTCAAATTTAAAGTCAAATTTCGTGGATATCTCCTTACATTCGGGAGGAAAGCATTCGATTTTCTATGGAATTCGGTTCGTTCGGTTCGAATCCAACGCAAATTCCAAATTCTTCAAATAACTCCCTCGGATGACTCGAATTTCGATCGAAAATAATCGATGCATTTCCTTGTTGATTTTTTTGAATCAGAAAAAAACTTTTAAAAAATATTAAAATATTTATTCATTATCGTGCAAAATCTCTTCGCTTCTTCATGCATTTTCATTAGAAATAAATTTTAATTAAATGAAGTAGTTTTTCGAAAATAATTATAATTATTATAATCCGAGTTTCCATGACAATCTTTGCCATTTATTTGCCATCAACTTTTCAGTAGTTCATTTATCTTTTTTTTTATTTTCAAAATATTTTTCTTCCTTTTTTTCATCATTTTTCTTCATTTTAAATTGTTTGTTGTAAAAGTATATTTTTAAGAAAATATTTTATGAGTTTTTGGTGATAAAGAAAATTCGCTTTGCAGTGATAAATTTATCAGCGAATAAAATGATGATATCCAACTGTATTTCTATATCTCTGACCAAGCGGCCTTATCCAACTGCACTTCTGCATCCAAGTAACTCCTTGGCCAAATGGCCTTACTCAACCGTTCTTCTATATCCAGGTGATTCCCTGATCAAACTGCCTTATCTTACAAGTCGATGGGACCAGCTGAAGAAGGGCTGTTGAAGTGCAGTGACAGCAGAGCATCACAACAATTGTGTGCGTTGCGACAGAATGCTATGAATAACAACTGCATAAGTGTACATTGTCCTATTTAAAGACCAATTCCAAATGTCCGCTGCCCACGCGATCAACTGTCCTACAAGTAATTGACCGTGTAAATCGAAGTTATGCAGAATAGCTAAAATAAAATGACCCCATTGGATGAAAACCTCTCGAATCTCGAAGATTTTTAAAACTTGGAAACAGTGCTGTAGAAAATTCTTGGCTTCTACTTTTCAAATATATCATAGAACGATTTTTCAAAAATTTGAATTTTTTGATAAGATTTTTCTAGTCTGTTGATTTAACGTGATTGCCGGACTGTCCCTTATTTTGTTTTGTTTCCTTTTGCTTTTGGTAATCCGAAGTGTTTCTCTAACCGAGTGGCCTTAATCCAGTGCAATTTTTAGGAGGGGAGCTGTGGGAGACTCCGTCGTTTGCCCTCTGGCCAAGTGGCCTTAATCCGGTGCAGCATTGAAAAGAGGAGCCATCAGATTCCATCGTCTGAGTCACTTCCACGTTCTTACTTTTCCTGTTATGAGTGACGAAAAACTTTACGGCAGTACCACTGATGCACACGTTCAGCGAGAGATGGACGCAGTGTAGAAAGTGCTTTAAGAATGATCAAATGTAGATGGTTTTTGATATCGCGCACTCTTTTCGATCATGTTTCATAATTTCTGCATAACTGATTAGAGATGTGAATTTTTAATGGTGATATCACGTGCAGTGATCTGAATGGTATTAGTATTTTTATAGTCGCAGTTGTCCGAGATAGAATTTCCTTTATTGATCAGTGGCGTAAGATATTTGAGAGTTGGGTTTTTCAGCGGTGGTGAATGCGTATTTTATCAAGTCTGATAAGAATAAGGCGGAAAAGGTTTTTTCTTTACGTTAACGTGGTGTCTAATTTAAAAATAAATAAAAATAAAATTCATATAATAAGTTAAAAAAATTAAATAAAAATAAATTAATAAAACTAACATTTCATTTACTTTATTCATTGATATTTATAACAAAATTAATGTTTTTAAACAAATCTTCATTTTTTTCTCATTTTTTTTACGCGATAAATTTAGTTTTATCAATTTTTGTTTATTTTGTTTCTTCTGTTAAAACTCACTGTTCTTTCGGTGTCAGAATAAGATTCCTTCATCAGAAGTTATAATATTAATTTGCTGCGATTTTCAACATCATCTGGATTTCATTTTTAATGGCAGTTTTTTTCAGTGAAAAAGAAGGTGAAGAATCCATCATACCTGGATTCGAAACAATGTGCCCTTCAATCATCGATTTTTATTTATGTTTTATTTTTGTATAAGTTGTCTTCAGCGATAACTAGACATTTTTGCTTGTCAAAAATAGGAACTAAATGATAAACAATTCTTTAATCTTTTGCATTGTATGGTGAATGCCAAAGAAGTTGTCTGCTAATATTAATAGCAAGCGAATTACGTTAATTTTTGTTTGATGAATTCAGAAGCTTTTAACTTGCAGATTTCATATTCAAGTGAGTGGAAAATTCACATTCGAGATGAGCAAAAGTGAAAGAAAGTACGTTCTTACATCGCAAGAAAAACAGCTTTTCCTTCTTTTATCTCAAGGTGATTTAATGATTTTTATATTAATATGCTTACTTATCATCTATTCGTTTTTAATTTGGTTATATCTCTTTATATTAATTTGATCTGAAGCTGAAGCAATTGATAACTTCTGATGTGTAATAAATTGAAAAAAGGTGTGACCATAATACAGCAGTGATGTTGGTATGTTTAGTTCCATAACGATATCCATTTCTTGTGTTGAAAGCAATTATTTTAGTTTACATATGGTTAGGAAGGAATTCGGTTTCTTAATAAGGTTTAATAGGGTTGTAGATATTTCTTTTAGCTGTTTTCATTTTAACTTCAATAAATAAAATAATTTTCGTTTCCTATCTAATCAAACATTAATATTTTAAAGAATTGCTGAAATCAATATTTTGTTAATTCGTAAATTATTTCTGGCTAGAAAATCTTTAAAATCTTTCGTTAATTAAATTTTTTAGACAAAATTGATGAAGCATTAGAATTATATAAGAAAGGTAATATACGTTCGAACTGTGTTAATGAGGTAAAAGCTTTTTTTGATCATTTATTTAAAAAACTAATGATAAATATAAAAAATATAAAATATAAAAATATAAAAAAGTTAAATATAAAAATAAATATAAAAAAGCTTTAAAACTCAATATAAAACTTTGGTTCTCAAATATAAAAAAGTCTTTGGAACATAATATAAATATTGTATTTTATGTCAAAAAATCGTTTCAAATCTTAGGTTCATTACAGCTAAGAAATATCCAAATATTCATAGAATTATTATCAACCGCATAAAGTGATATTTTCGAAAATGTATTAAAAATATTGAAAATTTATGGACTTATTTCTAGCAGGAAATATGTTTATTAAGTCAAGCATGCTATTATGGGTGCAAAACTTTGGTTTCAAGTCTTCTTCGCGATGGTGCCAATCCTAATGATCTTCACCATAAATATCAATATACACCACTTATGTTTGCAGCCATATCTGGAAAAGAAGGTAGAGATCCAGATCCATTTTTTAAAAGTCCTTATTATTTGTTATATTCATTTTTTTCCACATTTAATTAAGATTTTATACTTTTTAAACTTTTTTTGTTCATTTACGAATTCAATTCATTTTCAGTCCTTCTGCTGCATATTGATATTTTTTAGATGCCCCAGAAATTTGTCGTATACTTATGGATGCTGGTGCCTATGCAGATATTAAAAATTCCATTGGCAAAACTGCTGTAGAAATGGCTGCACTTGTTGGTTCGTTTTTTTATATAAATTTTTTCCATTTTTTCCGATATTGACGAAAAAAAGTAAACTGAATATTTTCTAATACGCAGGTAAACATGAATGTGTATCGGTTATTAATTCTCATATTGGGCTTGGAGAAGTTGAACGCATAGTATATCCAAGTGATGGTAAAAACAATAAAAAATATCCTGTCGATTTCGTCAAACTAGCACATGTTACAGTGAGAACGCATCATATCCATCCAGTCAAAGTAAATTTTATAGCACCTTTCATTTATGCTTTACGTTACTTATTGATGAAACGTTAATCAATCACTGATGATGTAGAATATGAAACTGTTTGCAGCTCGTTTTATTTATGCAACGTAATCCAACATTGTTGCAAAATCGCGAAAAATATTTGTATGTGATTGATCGTATTTTCGAGCGACAACTCCGATATAACAATGCAAATGAGGTGTGTATTATTTTTTATTAAAAATTAAAAAGTATTTATTAATGTTAAACTGTTGTTCAATTAAAGGTATTTTTTTATTGTGATATTTTATAATTTCGTTACTGCTAATATGAAAAAAAAATTGAGACTGACATAATCGGTGAAAGTATACGAAAATAACCCAGTAAAATACATATTTCATTTGTGTTTCATTTTTCTTGTATCTTTTTTTTCTTTTTTTAAGGTATTGTCAGTGAAGTTATGGATCATATTATTCATTCTCAGGCAAGCAAATACATTTGTCAGCAATAATATTGATAGTGGAAAAACAATTTCCCGCCTTCTTTTAATATATGCAAAACACGTTTTGGCTATGAAACCGAATGATATGGTACGACCGAGAATTGAAACTATTTTACGAAACGCTATCAAATCTTATCCGTATTATAATCTGTTATTGGTGCAGATGCTCGCTAAAGCTCTTTCTCGTGCAAAATTTGTAAGGCTTAGTTTTTTGATTGAATTTCTTATTATTTTTTCTTGATTTTAAGTGAAAATTACAAGTAAACGAGGTAACTATCGAAAAATTTTATCTTGTTATTAAACTGTCTTTTCATTTATCACAGCGTTTTTTAATTTACTATATTAGATTTAATATATTTTATTTTATTCAATTTTATTTACTTTAGTTTTCCATTTCCTGTTTATTTCTTTAATTTTTATTTTCGATTCTTATTTTAAATTTATTAATAAAGACAAATTTTTTAATTTATTGTTTTATTTTTTTTAATCCGTTTAAAAATTTGTGTTTAGGGATCTCTACCCGGCGCTTATTTTTTTGTTATGCAAGCCTTGTTTGGACATCAGATGGCTTCTTTTGCCAAATTTTGTTCTACTTGTGGAGTACCTGACGCACATAAGTGTTGCTGTAATTGTAAGGTCAATTTTACTTGCTAAATTTTTCGAAATTTATTATGCAAGAGAATGGCATTAAAGTTATTCGAAATTTATTGAACTTATTATTAAAGTAATGAAGGAAAAATCTAAATGAAAAAATCTAAAAATCTAAAAAATTTATTCAATTTTTATCTTTTATTGCTTTTTATTAAAAATAAATATTGAAAGAATATAGGGTTCCCATTTATCTTTTAATATTTTTTTTTTAGACACTATACTGCAGTATTAATTGCCAGAAATTCGACTGGCATATTCATAAAAAATGTTGTAGTACGATCGCTACACGTCATATCAATGACGAGGATATTGAATTTTGTGAGGAAATTTCACCACCTACTCCTGCCGATGAAATAGTCGATGAACTTGATGTAAGTTATTCTAGCACAGAATATGGTCTTGATGTCAGTTTGGAAGAAAGTGATGAGCCAAAAGTGGATGGTAGGAATATAGATTTAGCTGCGATCAAGCTCGAAGTTATGCAAGAGAATGGCATTAAAGTTAGCGACAATCAAGAAAAATCTGAAGATCAAAATAAAGAAAGGGTTGCTGCAAATCAAGAAAAAGCAGAAAAAGAAAATGGAGAAAGAGTTGGCGAAAATCAGGAAAAAGTTGAAAAGAATAAAAATGGTGAAGTTGATAAAATTCAGGTAAACATAAATGAGGAAAATGAAGTGCAATAAAATTGGAGATCCGTATTTTGATATTTTCATCTTCAATATCATATGTTCTTTTTATTGTCTTTTTATATTATTTTATAAAACCATCCAGTTCAGTTAATTCAAATCTATCGTTTTCGTTTAAATTGAATTCAGTCAAATGAAAAATATTGCATCCAATATTTTCTTAAAATTTCTTTTTCTAAAATATTCCTTATTATTTCATTAATTTCATTAAATCAGTCAAGAAATTGCAATTTCTCATTATATATCTTTAAATATATAAATACTGGTGGATTTTTTTTATGAAATTAGTTTTTTAATTTTTTCTCAAAGATTTTTTCAGTAAGTCGTATTAAAATTTTTGTCATAGGTATCTTGAGTTTATTTTATTTTTCGTTTTTTATTTTCATTTCACTGCTTTGTTCTCTGCAGTTTAAATTATTTTGTTTTATATTATATATATCTTATATTTTTATATTCACTTTTCCTATTCTTTTTTTACTATTTTCGATATATTTTTTTATTACGTCTTTGATTCGATTAGTGATGGTTTTTTAGATATTTATTCTGTATTTTTCGTTTCCTCTGCTTTCTTTAAGCGGTTAAAAGCGGTTAGATGGTTAACGACATGTTTGCATAGTTAAATTTCTCATTGTCTCTGCTTGACATTGACTTTATTAGGAAATTCCTATTTTACTACAATAATTTTTTTAAAATTTGATTTCGATTATTTAAAAGCTTTAATATTTTAATTATCTGAATTTGATTATAATTGATATGTATATGATAATGATAAAATGATAAAGTTTGATAAAATTTAGATAATTTTTGAAATCGTTTTTAAAATTTAAAACTAAAAAATTCTTTAGAAATTAAACTTATAACGGTCGATGAATAGAATTTAGATTATCTAAATTTTAGATTATCAGATATATCTACTTATACATTCGTGAAATTAATTTTATTAATTAAATTTTCTAAATAGGAATTGTTAATTTATTTCAACGGAGCCTATCATTTTCCAGTTTTTTCATAGATGTTTTTGAGAAATCACCTACCCCAATTATTTTAATGATAGTCGTATAAATCCTTTGGCACATAAATATTTTCACAAATCGTATTGTTTCTTTATCCATTGGTGTTCACATTCAATAAATTTTTCTTTTTTTTTTCTGCAATTTTACTATTCAAACAAGTATAATCATTTCAGCGATATTTTAATAGAAATTTTATGGAAGTTATTGTGGTTCAGTTCATCGCATCGTGTAATTTTTAGACAATGTGGTGGTAATTTCGAAATTTTGTGGTTGAATGCGAAGTTGTTCGACTTTTGCAGTTCGAAATAGTTCAGTAAAGCTTCAATATTTAACGGTTAGTTGGTCGTAATTTCGAATAATTATTCGATAGGGAGCATCATAATTTCTGGCTTCGTGGACTGGTAATGGAAAGGAAACGACGTAGAGATAGATAAGGGGGATTTAGAGTGGTCTTTGGCATCACATGCATTTGGTTTCTGATAACAGGATTTGCTTACCAAGAAGTGGTTCTTCTACTAGTTCCATCATTGGTTAGGCTGGCTCCAGCGGCTACGAGGACAAGATGCTTCCATGCGGCGCGGTGCTGATGCCATCGTCGGCAGTTATAGAAGCCATTATCTTTTCCATCGTCTAAGTCCATATATTGCTGGTCCATCTGTACGTTCAAAATCTTTCACGACCGTCCAGGTCTTGATTGGCCCACCTCGCTTTTGACGCCAACCATCACACGGTTTAGCAAGTAATGAAATATGCGACAACTTTTGTGGTGGACGACGGAGAACGTGCCCTAACCACCGAAAGCGATGCTCTGTGATAACATTATAATACAGGGATGTTTGAACGAAGGTGGATACGATATTTTATCATTTAATATTTTATCCGCTCGACGAACCCGTAAAATATACCTTAGACAAATGTGGTCAAAAGTAGATAGCTTCTTGATATCTCTCTCATCCACTCTCACTGGCCATGTCTCAGAACATTATATAGGAAAATATAGGAAAAAGCATGCGGCCTTGACGGACATCTGTTCTTATTTCGAAGGATTCTATCAGTTCCACATATACACAGACCTGTGCCGACGTGCGCTCATAAGATGCCTTTATGAGTCTAATGATTTTCTCTGGAACACCATCGTGTTCTGTCATCCTCAAAAGTGTAGTTCTATCAAATAATCGAAAACAGCCGCAAAATCGATGAAATAGGTGACGGCGGGTTTCAAGCGATATTCCAACACCTTTCTTAACGTGAATTTTCGGTCAACATTCCTGCTTAAATCCAGCTTGATTATAGCACATCCTGTCGTTCCATATTGCCATAATTTTATTGAGAAAAAGGGAAGCAAAAATTTGCTGAGAAATTTTCATTTATATCTGTAGGCAGATTCCTCGATAATTGTCGCGGTATGTCCTGTCATCTTGGGAAATGGGATCAAAAGTCATTGCACCACTTGATTATTCTACTTCCCATCATAATATGCTTTTGACCTCTTAGATTTTTAGATTTTAGATTTTAAGTAAAATTGATTGAATCTCTTACATTGCACTAGTGATTCCTGAATCTTTTCATGAACAACATCGGTTAGGGGTTTTATGGATATTTCAGTGGTGCTTAATTTTGCAGTAATTCCTAATTAACTTTACTTGCAGCATTTGTGGGTTGAATACTCGCAGCGACGTTATCTTGGTTGTACTTTTCCACGCCTCAAGAAAGTAATTTTTTTGACACTTTCTTCTAACAGTACTCACCAATACTGCTATGCGATTCGATGCTATCACTGGCAGTGTCGTCATTTCTTTTTCCATTTTCTAAATCTTCGTTGGTCCACCTGTATGTTCAAAATTTTTCCTGATTCAAGCAGGTCTTGATTAGATCACCTTTCTATCACAGAGTTTAACAAGTTACAAAATATGTGTCAACTGTGGAGGGTGACGAAGAATGTGCCTCAGCGAAGACGAGGTGGATGCAGTCATGTAAGATTTTATCCGCTTGGCGAACCTGTATATATCTTAGACATTAGTGGTCAAAGGTAAATACTTTCTTCATATCTTTCACTCTCATCGGCCATGTCTCGCAATCATAACAAGATTAAGCGAATAGCATCTATACAGAAGCGGATTTTCGTTTTTATGGTGATTTCGCGACTATTGCATGAAGGCTTCATTAACCAGAAAAACGCATTTCTAACTGCGGATCCGGGCTGATTGCATATTTTGAAATTTTGTTCACAATTTTGTCACTTTTTAAAAATTTTTTTAAATTGAAATTTTTTCTTTTGGCTTACTGTAGCTGCAGTATATCCGTATTTCTCTGCCAGTGTTTCAGTTGAAAACTTTTAATTTGTTCAAAAATATTTGAAAATTACTTTAAATTTTATTTAAATTTTATTTTTTCTTATTATAATTTTCATTTTTATTCATATTTTACTTTTTACAGATGTTTATACAAGTTAAAAATCCTGCAACAGGCCAAATGACATGGAAAGTCGCAGATGAAAATTATGATTTGGCTCAGGAAATTGCACGAAGTAGATATGCTGATATGTTGCATGATCATGAACGCAATAAAATGTATGAAATTGCTTTACATAATGTTATCAGTGAGGTTAGATCGATCTTTTAATTTATCTCTTCTTTCAAGTAAAAATTTCTTTTTTAAAAATTGGCTGTTCGGTTCATGGTATTTTGTGATATTATGAAATATTTATGAAATCTTTTTGAGCTGCAAGAACAAGGAAAAAATGTCCATGTTGTGGATATTGGAACGGGTACAGGTTTGCTTTCAATGATGGCTGTACGAGCGGGAGCGAATCAAGTGACTGCGATCGAAATGTTCAAACCAATGGCAGATTGTGCTCGAAAAATTTTCGAGCGCAATTCAGTGGCCGACAAAATTCATTTGATTTCATCTAGATCTACTGATCTTGGTACTTGTGAATGGAATTTTTTATTACTATGGTTAATAGAGAGAACTTTGCAATAAAGTAGAAAAAACATTTGAATGAAAGTGGTCTTGTTTCGATTGATCGGTTAAAAGTGGGTTAAGGAAATCGGAATGATCGAACCAGAAGTTTGATAGAAGGAAACCATATTTTTTTTAATGTTATATAAATAAAATCGATTTCATCTACATCTTGAAAGTTAAGAATTTTTAATCCTGTTTTCATATATTCATATATTTTCATATTTTTTTTTCTAGATGAAATCGACAAAAAGGGTAATGTTCTCGTGGCTGAAGTATTTGATACTGAATTAATTGGCGAAGGCGCCCTTAGAACATTCGAAAGAGCCCATAAAACGCTTCTTGAAGTTTGTTTACGATCAGATAGTTTAGATTTTTCTTTATTTTTTTCATGTTGGTTTTTAAAATTTCTTTGCTCCCAATTGATGCCTCCTTGATTTTGATCTGATTCGTATTATTTTAAGTTTAATTATTATCATTGTGGACCCATAAAGTATTTGTTGAATATATGTATCAGCAAATTAAAATTTTCAGAAGAATAGTCGAGTTATTCCTACGTCAGCACGCATTTGGGCTGTGCCAGTTAATAGTGAGTTTCTTAAGAAGTTTAACCAATTGCCTGGATCTAGTTTTAAATCACCTTATGTGGACTGCCCAGGTCTTGCTGCAGTTTTCGATATTCAATTGTCGCAGGTTCCTGCGGATGAAATAAAATTTATTTGCAGCCCATTTGTGGCAATGAAGTAATAATATTTCATTTTCTTTTGATTTTTTCCTTTGTTTTTTCTTTTAGTTGTTATTCTCTTTATTGATTAGTTTTTTTCTTCAAAAGTATATTAAATAAGAGTTTTAGATTCGATTTCGAAAGACCTGAGTCATATTCATTCGAAGAAGTATTTACTCATGAAATTAATGTTGATATTTCTGAAGATTTAGAAATACATGCAATTTTAACATGGTGGGATCTCGATATGGACGGCACAGGTTTTAAAATTTATTAATTTTCTCTTAGCCTTCAATTTAGTTTTTTAGAAATTTCTCCAAAAAAATTCGCTTTAGGTCAGCATATTTTGACAATGGCACCCAAGTGGTTTAATCCTCTTGCGAAGTGGAGAGATCATTGGATGCAAGGGATATATTATTTGCCTCAGTCGATTATTGTATCAAATGGTCAGAAAATCGAAATATCTTGTTGTCATGATGAGTTTTCACTTTGGTTTCGAATTGGGAATGGAACTACAAGGTACTTTCTCGCAATATTTGCTGTTATTTACTTTGCTTTGTTTCATCCATTTTGATTTGTCATACATTAAGAAATTTATTAGTGTGATTAGCATAAGGAGAAAACAAATTTATTGGGGTAACTTTGGAGATAATAACAATTCTTCTTTAGAGATGGACCACATTTCTGTTCATGCAAATTTCATTCTATTTGTTCAAGAAATACTGTATATCGTCTAAATGAATTGGAATCAGACTATATTTTCTCAGAATTTTTGAGACAAGTTTGCCTATTTTCTTTAAAAATGCTTGCAAAATTATATTAAAAATTTTATTTATTTGTTTTTATTTTTAGATCGCTTCATTTGAATCATATAAAAAATTATGAATGATATTTGTAAAGCTCTTTTGGTCCAAATTATTGTTCATACCAATTCTTTGAAATGAATGAAGAATTCTTTAAAAAAATTTACTTAAAATTAAATTAAATTTTGTCTCGCTATGCTTCTCCTAAAATAAATTTACATCCTGTAAGTATTAATAATTTTAACAATATTTTCGGTAAAAATCCATATCTTTATAGAATTATTCTCATAAATCAGTCTTGTGTATTAATGATGGATCACTTATTGGCCTTATGTGCGCGAAATTTGCTGAAAAAGTCCAAGTTTTTGATACGAATTCTATTTTTCGCTCAGCAATTTCCCATTACTGTGTATGTAACGGTATAAATAATGTTAAAGTTGTGCATGAGGCCAATGTCGACATTACTGAGGCGAGTATTCATGTGTTTTTTTAAAAGATGAGACTTATCTTTTTAGACTTATGTTTTCTTAACAGTCAGCGATTATTTCAATTTTTAATTGGTAAAGTTTTAATCAACTTGTAGGTTGATTCGATTTTGTCGGAGCCTTATTTTATATCTTCTATATTACCTTGGGATAATCTGCGGATATGGTTTATTGTGCAGACTTTATTACGGCATAGTTGCAAAGAAGTTGAAATATTTCCTCAGGCAATTAATCAATTACAATTTTTTATTTCATTTTTTTCGACGTTGATTTAGTGTGGTAAAAAATGTTAACAAAAAATTAATTTTTCAGATTTTTCTTGCAATTACTTTTTAATTAAGTATAACTTATATCTTGGTACAGATCGGAATTTTGAATGCAATGCCCGTGGAATTCGAAAATTTGTGGAAAACTGTCGCTGCTGTTGGTAAAGTCGAAGGCTTCGATCTTACGCCTTTCGATAATATTTGCCAAAAAGCGCGTTGTGCCACCGATCCTATTGTTGAGCCCCAACCTCTCTGGGAATATCCATCAGTTTGTACGGGCGATGCTGTTTCAATTGCCAAATTTGATATTACTTCCCCAGTTCCGCTGAACGATGTAACTTATTCAGCTTTGCTTCGCCTTTCAAGGTATTTTTTAAGTACTTCTCGCATTTTTTCACTATTTTTTAATGATTATTACAGCAAGGGTAAATGATAAAATTATTACAGAAAGGGCACAAATGCGGTAGTTTTTTGGATGGACTGGAAATCAGAATCGTATAGTATGAATGGTATTTATAAAACATGTGTAACGGACCAAAAGCCATCTTGGCCAGCTAGTCAGAAACAAGGCGTTTATTTCATACCAGATGAAAAAAGAAATTCTCAAGATTTTGATAAAATATTGATTGAAATCACTTTTTCTCCTTACGACGGAAATATTTCTTTTGATTTTATATTTTAAAATTTTTAACTGCTTTTTCATCTTTCCTTTTTTTCATATGTAACTCATTCCTGTTAATTTATTTATTAACATGGAACTACAAAAGGCATTCAGTTTTTTGAAAAAGCATTGACTTCCTTCAAAGTTTACTGGCCACGATTTCGTATGTAAAATTAAATCCATCCACAAATATTTCATTTTGAATTTTTGTCCATTCTTTTTTTATATAGTAGAAATAGGTTTACATCCTTCAACACCAAATTGTTTGATTTCGGTGATATTACTCGACTCGAAATACTACTTACCTGAATAACTCTTATTTGATTTCATTTAATTAATGTTTTTATCTAGCAGCAGATAACTACTGCCAGTATTAGTCGATGTAAATAATTTGGGCAAAAAGTCCGCATCATGTTTTCGGCATTACCATTAAATATACAAAATGTACAGTGATAACAATAGAAGAGAGAAATATTAAGTTCGTAAAATGTGTTGCTTTTAATGCTAAATTTTATCAGATGAATTCAGCAATACAATTTGGAATTGATAAAGTACATAATCCAGAAATTATTATCACAGGTAAAATAGAGACAAAAAACTGACTTGAGCAATATTCAATATTAAACAAGACGTAACCTTTAACATTAATGGTAAATTGATGATAAACTCGTCTGTGAAATTTTTGGCAGCACTGGTATTTCACATTTTTTAATTTATTCATTGTGATTTCATTTCAAAACGAGAAAAGAGAAAGACAGAGGTTTGTTAATTAACAAGAAAAATATATCTAGCAAAAGTAATCCAATTAGCTTTTAAAAATTATTCTGCTTCATTTATTTCGAAAACGCTTTGAAGAGCTTCAAAAAATTTAAGACGATGTTGGCAACGTATTCTTATAACTGAAAATTACTCTTTTAAAGTTGCAAAATATAAAAAGCCGGAAGGTATTAGTAATATTTTACCTGTAGAATCAAAAGATTTGCATTGAATATCTTTGAGTTTACAATTTGCGGCAGCTTCTTCAAAAGCTTTCCCAATAAAACTGGAAAATAATAAAATAGAAAAGAAATTAAGGTAGACAAAGGAAGACATGAAGGCTGTTGATGTGAAGGCCCCGAAACTTCGAAAATTTCCATACCAAGATGGCAAAGGACGAGCTGCTGAGGATTTCCGAGATCTCTATGAATATTAGAAAAAGAAGAAGAAGCACCATAGCAAAACAAGACCCTCTATCGTTGATCCATTGACAGATAGCTGAGAAATCCTATCAGTAGTCGGAGGAAGCTGGACTGAAAGGCAATAATGAGGCATCATAGCAGCACAAGAGCAGGTCCAGATCTATTAAAACAAGAATCTACCATACTAGGATTTTAGATGCTATAGTGGTAGGAAATGCAAGCCGAAAGGTATAACCAGGTATGTTCAGTATATGCTTTCAATTCTTCCAAGTCCAGATGAGAGATCCCTCATAAAATCATGGAGAATAAAATGAAAGTCATGTGGGATTTCTCCATCCAGACAGACTAGCCAATAAATCAAATACCATGATAATAGACAAGAAAAAACAGCACTAGTGATAGATACAGCAATACCAACTGAAATGAACATTAGGAAGAAAGAATATAAAAGGTTAGAGAAATTCATGTTCCAGGAGATGAAATATGGAAAGTGAAAGTCAAAGTAATTCCAGTTAATTGCAACACTTAAATCTAGTGACCCCTTGACAGCAGTTGATCAGTAAACTAGAAAAGTAACTTCAATAAATTTCAGGAAGAACATCAGAGATCCAGAAGAGTTAGAAATAACTAAACTATTGCGCAAAATCCCCAGGTTTCTGGTAGAGAATCCGAGATTGAGGATAATCCTTGTCACCCAAAAAGGATGAAAAAGAGGTCTTTTTTTCCAGAATGCTGAAATTATTTCAAGAAAATCTGAATATGCTTAAAATTTTTCTAAAAAACGATATCACTTTCAAAAAAATTAATAAAATTCACCTTTTCAATAATCCACTCGATTGTTTAACGACACTATAAGGCATTAATCCTGTCACAAGCTGCCAACCTTCGTCACTTCCAGAAAGTGGAATCGATATTATCAGTGGAAGCGAGGAACACTTTTTTTCTCGACGCTAGTAATAAATATTTAAAACTATTATGACAAAATAAATAAAAAATGTGCCAAAAAAAGCAAAAAAGGAAACTATTGTGACAAGAATATTTGATAGCAAAGTTTATAATAAATTGATCTTTTTTAGCTAAATTTTAAATCCGCATAATATGAACACTTACATGTTCAATGAAAGCATTTTGAACAAAATAACAGAATTTGAAAAGAAAATGCCTCGAATTGACCAATAAACCATCGCATGCATTCTGCAAAATATTTTTATTAATATTTAAAAAAAAAAGGAATTTCAAGAGAAAAAAGGAATTTCGATGAACATTTAACTTGAATTTCAAAAAAATTTGAAGTCATATTTTATATTTACTAATTTGAATTTGAAATTAGAGCAGAAAAACAAATAAAAAGCTAAGCAGAGTAGAGATGAATAAAGTAATAATAAAAGAAAAAAGAAAAAACCAAACCTTTGGCACATACAAGAGGTAATATGGGCCCATTGCAATAATGAAACTAAAATTCAATATATAATTAATTTGATTAGCGATTTTTTCTGTAGCTTCCTTATACTTCATGGTGGCCAACCTTAATCTTTCTAAATCGCCAAGACCTGAAAGAATTTTTAAAAAATTTTATGTTATTCACTGGATGCTTAATTCGCTTGAAATTCAAAAAAATCGATAAGGCAAAAAATTTCATTATATTGTGTTTATTAAATGAATGGCAATGAGCAAAAGCAAAAAAAGCAAAATAAGTTGAACATACTCTCGAGATATTTACTTATGATTCCTGTTGTAGCGGTAAACCTATCGTAACATGCATTATTTTCAATATTTGCTTCGAGACTCCATGCAAGAACACAAGCAAAATCACATGCATTATACCTATAAGCAACGGGACGAGAAATTATAGAATGTTTTTGCTTGTGTTCTTATTCATATTTCATATTTCATTAAAAAAATCCTATTGTACTCTAATTATAATATTAAAATTATATTAATATTAAAATTAAAATTATATTTATCAAAAATATTTATAATCAGAAATACCACAGATCAATCCATCTTCTAAATGAACATAACTGAGTTTCTCGTACACAAAAAATCATTGCTTAAAAATTGCTTAATTGAAAGAAAAATCTCAACTACTTAAACCTACTAGTTTCTTCATTCGCTACAAAAGAATTTCAAAGAATTCACCAAATTCGAAGAAATCTGTGACAAGAAGGAAATTAGCTGAATTTTATTAAGCAATGCAGATTTACATATATTTAGTTATGCTAGCCATCATTTACTATGATGAATCGTGTTATACATAAATATTCTTATACTTATCACTGATTGGATGCTAGATCGAATTTAATCTGTTTAATTCTCATACTCCTTTGAAGAAAAAAAAAACCTAATCGAATAGCCGATACAAGCGAAAAATGTTGCAAATTCAATATCCATATCTTTTTCAATAATATCGAAAATTTCTTGCCTCCTTTTCTGAATTAGTGAATTGAAATTTTGATTAACTTCTTCCAAAGTGATCCTAGAAATTTTAAAATTTTTACTTAATAAATTTTAGAATGAATAAATAATTAATAAATTTCCTCTCTCTCCTTTTATATTAAAACAATGGTGATCTTTTTTAACTCAAAACTACAAAAAAGAACCAACAAAAACTGCTGATAGAGAAAAAAAAAATGGATGGCATACATAATAAAATTTAATTCAGATGTAATTCAAAAAAAATTATAATTTGCCTCCTTCACAAGCAATATCCAAAAGTAGAGCTTTATAAATTAAAAATTTTACAATTTTTGCCGGAATTATTTATATCACATAGAAATTTTCATGGATCTGACCATGTTATGGTTCGAGCCAAGATCCGCATAAAATTGACAACTCGCAGAAAACAGTATCTCTCAAGTTCCTTCAACTATCTCAAACTAAAAAATTCGGAGACAGTGAGCGCACTTCAAATTTCGAATTATTTCGAATTATTGAAGCATCTCAGTGATACAAATATCAATGATTTTTCTAGAACGGCAAATGAATACTGGTGCAAACTAAAGGAATGCCTCCGAAAATCAGCCACTTCCACGCTAGGAGATACTAGTAGGAAATGCGCTAGCTGGGTATCGGAAGCAACTGTCCAATTGTCTGAAAAACCTGCCAAAGCATGAATGTCAGGTGATCCTCACTACCAGGTGCTTCAAAGATTTGCAACGAAAGCAATAAGGCGGGACAGAAATCTCTATTGGAGTGACATGGCCTAAAGAATGGAGGTGGCGGCTCGATTAGGCGGCAATAGGAAACTATTCTGCCTTCTTCATAAAGCAATTATGACTAGGAGAAAGATCAGTGAAATGGTAAGAGATAGCAATGGCGTAATAATCAAAAGTATTAAGGATCGCCTCATAAGATGGAAAGAATTCTTTGAGGTCAAACTTAACCATGGAGCGCCATCTGTTGCCTCTGATATAGCTGAGATACGTTTGCCGAAGCACACATTTGCAATTGCGAGCCTCCAGCAGAAGAAGAAATAATTTCAGTTATCCATAAGCTTAAAGCCAACAAAACTCCAGGAGAAGATGGTCTTCGGGCTGAGCTTTTCAAATACTGTCCATTGTCCGTCATAATGCACCTTCAACAAATGTACTCTTTGGTACGGAAAAAAGAAATATTACCAGATGATTGGAGCAAAGTTCTGCTCCCAATTCTCAAGAAAGGTGATAGGACATAATAATTATCAATTATGGCGACAATTATCGAGGAATCAGCCTATTAGACAGCAAAAATTATCTCAGAAAAAATTTTTTCTTCCCTGCTACTCAACAGACTTATGGAAGTACGGGATAGCAGGATGCGCCCTAATCAAGCTGGTTTCAGACCAGGGCGCGGTTATGCTGACCAGATATTCACGTTAAGAGTGTTGGAACATCGCTTCAAATATTTGCAACGCATTGTCACGTGTTTCATCGACTTTGCGGCTACTTTTGATTCAATTAATAGAGCCGCGCTTTGGAGGGTGATGGTGTTCCAGAGAAAATCATTAGAAAATCATTGTATTAAGGATCCGTCGTGCGGATAAGATATCACATGATCACATCCATCTTCGTTTAAATACCACTAGCATAAATAATATTATCACAGATCGCCGTCTTCGCTGGTTAGGGCATATTCTTCGTCGTCCCCACAGGAGTTGACGCAAATTTCGTTATTTGCTAAACCGTGTAACGGTTGGCGTCAAAAGCGAGGTGGGCCAATCAAGACCTGGACTGAAACGGTGAGAAAAGACTTTGAACATATAGGACCAGCAATATATGGACTTAGACGATGGAAAAAGGAAGGGCTTCTATTACTGTCGATGATATCATCAGACCGCGCTGCTTGGTAACGTCTTATCTTTGTAGCCGTTGGAGAAAGCCTAACCAGTAATAATGAGAGCTGTTAGAAGAAAGAAAAAGAAAGAAAGAAGACATATAGGCTTATATATTATTAATCCTCAATTTAACGATTATTTTGAAGAATAAAAAAATTGATTCAAATTGATAAGTTCAAAACTAGCCCCAATTTTGAATATAATTCCTTCAAGGCATATTCACCATTGCGATGCCACTGCTTTGTCAAACAAGCATAGTATTGATCATGCTGCATAGTTGATTTCAATGTCCAATGCGCATACATCGGCAAAGGTAATCTAAAAAAACCTTATTATTCATTCGGAAGTGGACCGTTCAATTAAAAAATTTTTCGAAGTTTTTTGCGAGAATGAAATCTAAATGTAGTAGCCAGAATCAGAATTTAAACGTTTTTTGAATATTCGAAACAAATTTAATCAAGAAATCAAATTAGCTTTTCATTAGAAAAATAATAAATAAGCCAGACGAATCAGGCCAAATACGAACTCCTTGTCGAAGTAAATCCGTAGAACGTCGTCTCCTCTCACTTCACGTGAACCTTTTGTGCAAAACCTCCGTATATGATTAGCAAGGCGATCACAGCAAATTTCCGTGTATTGATCAAGCGAAATTATATGATCCATTAACTGACTGTTTAGGCCAACCACAGCACACCACATTAAATCCACAGTCGCTTTGCCTATTTCACAAGCAATATCCAAAAGTAATATAGAGCTCTACAAATTATTTTACACTTTTTACAAGAATTATTTATATTGTAGAAATCATATAGGCTCATATATTATTACTCCTCGATTTAACGAATATTTCGAGAAGAAATAAATAGAGAATTTTCAAAAAAAATTGGTTCAGATTTGGATCTTGAAATATATGTTAATTAACATCCAGCAAAGTCGAGGAAGCCGAAATTTTACCTATAGTACTCACCGAAGCGGCGTACCACGTACATTCATAATAATTCCAAAGTTTTCTCTGCACTTCCTTTTTCTTCGTTTGTCGAGCAGCTTTTCGCAGCTCCCTCGTTTCAATACTTTCAATAATTCTTCTTTTTTGGCTAGGTTCATAATCCTCAGAGTCTCGAGCGACTGATTCAGCAGACTGTAAAGTATCATCCAATTCTTCTCCACTATCTCCATCAGACGAATATAGAACTTCTTCAGGACGGGGACAGACCATTTCTGCGATATCTGCTTCAGTAAGCAATAAGTGAATATTGGATGGTTCGAATACCTAAGATAAACTTCGTATTAAAGAATACTATACAATATATTTTTTGGATAAATGAAATTTGAATGAAAAAAAAATGGTGAGGATATATTAATAAGCTTTACAATTAATGACCCCTTATAATCGACCATATGAGTTCTGCATGTACTATATCCATTATCATTTCAAGTGCCGATTCCATTCCTGACTCTGGCAGAATCTGCCAATAAGAATTCAGGATAGTGTTTGGGATTGACGAAGCTGTCGCATCCTCCTAACTATCAGTGGAGAGAGCATAATGGAAAGCGGTTAACTATTAACTATTTACTATTTAGTTCCGTAATTCCTCGAGCGGGCGAAAGATATGCCTTTCCTAGCATAATTTATTTTTTTCCTTATATTGATATGAAAAATGAAAAGCAAAACTAACATTCTCAAGATTTGCTGGCCTTTTCGAATCAATAATATAAATGTGACAAATTTTAGGTATTGAAAGTTGTGTTAATGCAATATTAATTCCACAGTTGATTAAAACAATAGAAGATTTGACTTTTGAATATTCGAATAATTTAGTTTTAAGTGAGTCCCAACTTTCAATAGGCACTACTGAATGTTGCACTTCATCGCATTTTAATAAATACTGAAATAAATAAAAAACAAAAATATGGACACTTAAACGAAAAATCAGTTTAAAATGCAGCTGAATTTATATGTTAAATTTCTAAAAAAAATCCTATCGAATCACGAAAAACTTAATCGACGATGGATAAATTTGTATTGTTAATTGCCGAAAAAATGATAACCATGAGTATGCGGGTGGCGCAAACTGAATCAACGTCCATATTCGATAAAATCACCACATACTGCAAAAAATGATAACTTAAGAAATTAACTTGAAAGGTGAATCAAATGAAATGACCACTGCTTGGTCAATCTTTTTTTGCACCTCTGATGCACTCTTGGCCTAATTTAAGTTAAATGGCCTTAAGCTTTCCTAGACATCCTTTTAGGATCAACAAGATGCCCTATCCAATAAAAATTAACTACTCAAATATCTTAAAAATGATGGCCAGGAAATTTCCTTTTTTCTTTTTTCACTTTTCAACATATTCCTCGAAAAAATGCAAACTGTCGCTCCAACTAGCAGTTTAAAGTTGGCTATTCCGCTATTCATTATTCATTAGTATTCAAACTATTCAAGCTTATGTTTGCCATAATTATGTATCGTTCAACCTAAGCCTAAGCCCAAGCCTAAGCTTTATACCCACCATGTGATATGAGAGATCGTACATTTGCGCATTGTTCGAAGAATTTCGTCGACTTATTAAAGAGGAAATTACAAAATAATATGATATAGTACAATTCGAAGTAACTGTAATTAACAAATTCAGTTATTCACTCCAAAAGTTTTTAAATAATATTTACCAATACTTATCAGCAATCTTTTCAAATTTGAAGTTAAACTTTTCGCGGAATATATTTTACTTTCAGGTCGATAAACGGAATTCCTCGACGGCAATAATTCTCATTGAAATCACCTATCAACAATTAACAATAATTACCTACTTATATTGGCTAATAAATAACTTACGCCTTCTTTCACACGATTATAAAAATCTCGGCAGAAATTTTCGCGAATAATCATCGTTAAGGAATTTGGCGGATTAGCGGAAAAAAGGCCTGAAACAAATAGTTTAGTCGATAAAAAACAAAAAAGGCCCGTTAGATTTTGATAGAACAATGAAAAGTATCAATAAAAATAAGAGAGAAAGCAGCAATGCTGAGTGAGTAAAAATATAAAAAAGGCCCTTTAGGCCTCTTAAAAATACAAAAAAGGCCCCTTAGAGCTATTAAAGAAAACAAAAAATTGTTGAACGCGTCAGAATATAGGCACAAATCTCGAAAATAATTAAAATAACTCAATAAATATCGAAAAATGCAATAAAAAATTAGGTGGAAATAAAGAAAGAAAAAATAGTCACTCAAAAATAAAATTTCAAACGAGGCATTTTCGCGCCTTTCCATTTCGCGCCAAATTTAAAAATGAATTTTATTCGAAGACTGTTTTTCAGGTTTCATTGGTTCTTTCCCGCAGTTCGGTAGGGGAGTTTGCTTTTTTTCTCGCCAAGGGGCCAAAATTTAGGTTTTAGAAATTTAGCACATAGGAGTCAAACATTTTCCTTGTGACAGCTCACATCATAAGTGGCTAAACTGGCTTCTTTAGCAATAAAGCGCTGCACTCGGTCTGATGCCATCCCGGAGATTAAAAGAAGCCATCCGATTTTCTACCATCTAAGCCCGTATTTCTCTGGGCCGCCGTTCTTTTTTAATTGTATCAGCCAAGGGCTTCAGTGATCTTCGTTTCCGTCATAAGGCTTGGCAACTACCAAGATGTATCGAATTCTGTGGTGGAGAGCGAAGAAACGTAGACGACCGTCTGTAAGCAAAATTGTGAATATCTGAGCGAAGATGGATGGACTGTGTGAAATTTTATCTGCCCGCAACTGACCTTAGGCGAGTAGTCAAATGTAGATAGCTTCTCAACAACTTCCAATCTCATTGGCAAAGTTTCGAAGTATTGGGTGCAAACTCGTTTTGAGTTTGATTTTGCGACGATTTCACCGAGGTTTTGCATGATGAATATATTTCTAGCTGGAGTTATCCAAGCTGCTATTTTGTCTTTCGCTCGGTCAATTTTTTCCGGCCGAGAAGGCTATATCACTAGCGTATTCAAGTTCTATGAATTGAACTTCTGAGTGTTGGCGACCACTATCCACAATCCATTCAATCGCTAACTAGGTGAAAGATACCGTTCTGATGGATGCCAACTCTTATTTCGAAAGAATCTGGTAATTCCTCCAATAGAACTGCGGTATGCCTTCATGAATCTTCTTTTTTAATAACATCGTATTCCATCGCTCTCCAGAACGCCGTCCTATCAAATAAATCGAGGGCAACGGCAAAATTAATAAGTAATTTATAATCATTCAGATATTAAACATTGGTCTTGGGTTTGGAGCTGGAGCTACGCTCAAGACAAAGCATATCGCTTCGAGTTCTTTCCAAGTTTTCGAGCTTTTTCTGGAAATGCTGTCAAAAAAACGAGAATACGCGTTGATTTTTATATTTCTAGAATATGAAGAGAACTAGCAATTTACCAAATACAAAATGCTTATGATGCTTGAATTGCTTTTAACAGGTGAATCGATGTTGTTCGACAAAACATCAGAGGGATGGTTATGGTTTTAATCATAACATTTCTTTTTTCTTCCAATAGCTCCTGCAATTTCTAATCTGGCTGGCTTCATTGACTATATGGATGAGAGGTCTTTTTGCCACTGAAGTCATTTCGGGATGCATGGAATACGGTGTGTATGGCTTAAGCTCAGATTGAAACAACATCTACTCAACCAACGTAACCAATCACCAATCTTTATCAATAATCAAAATGTTTGGCAAATGGGTATTATAAAATTTAGCATAATTTAAGCTTAAGAAAATATAAAAAAGTAAAATTTTTCTACTTGTCAAATTATCAGTAAATCAAATGAAATTTAACTATAATATTTTTTTAAGAAAATTACACCGGAAATCCGCTAAAATCAATCGAATTTAAGAAAACAAAGAAATTCTTTCTCATCGAATTCTTTTCATATCAACGAACTCTATAATTATTTCTTAACGATTTGAAGTTATTGTAGTAATGTGAGAAATTCGCACTGAATTCATAAATGAATGATCTTAATAAAAGAAATGATTGAGCGAACTAGTTAGTGGATGCGTTATACGGGGGATATTAAATATAACTGCTAATCGCAACCGTATACCCACCGATATGCCAATTTGTAGATTTTAATATTTTCTTGCTTTATATTTTAATTCTTTTAAATTTATATTCGGGCTTTAACAGTTTTTTTATTATAAAAATAAAAACTTTTTACAAAAACTTAAAATTAATTAATCAATGCTTTGCAACGTAGTTGATATTGAGGTGCTAACGCCGGTTCCAAGGGTATTTTAAGATAGAAGTAGAAGGTAAAGAGTTTAAATGTTTAAAATTTTGAAGAAAATAGCAAATTTTAAAGGATAGCCAAGGGTTTCAAATCGCCGAGTTGCTGAAATTTGGAAGTTTGAGGTTAAGGCCACATCTTTTCCAGTTGCATGCACATATTTTATATTGCATTTTATTATTTATGAATTTGATAAATTAGATATATCAAAATCGACTGATAATATTCGTTATATCATCTAAATTAGCCAAACAACAATGTGTCATTAGTTGGTAAATTGATAATAATTAGTTGGTAATAACAATATTTTTCTGAATATTTGGTGAATAACACTTATAAGTTGCAATCCATCATTTTTTCCCAATTACTTATTAATTTTGACCTTGAATATTCGTCAAAAAAACATTCAAAACCTGTAAAATTTCTCAAAATTTATATGGAAAACCATCGAGACCGGGACATTAATCGACACTTCTCAATTATAAGTATACTTGAGGAAGAAATTCCGCTTTCTTTAAGAAAGAAAAAAACAGTCACCAGCAAAAAAAATGGTCTCATACTTCATGAAGTTATTTATAATCCATTCCTCTGGATCTATCGATTTTATTATTAGACTCAATTAATCATTTGATTCCATTATTTCCAACCGTTTATAGCGAGAATTGCTACTTTAGTGCGACAAAAAAAAGCGAAAATGCTTGAAATATTTTTTGCTCTAAAGGCTCATTATTTCTGGTTTGATTAGGTGCAAGTAACCGCTTGGAAAGTAACTGCAAGTAACTCGTTTTCTAGAGACTCAGTTGATGATAGAAGTGTAAAGTTCCCAGCACCATTCGACAATTAATTGCTCATTACTTCCTTAATTCATATATATTTTAAAAAGTTTTAGTGTAGCATTTTGTCAGGTACCAACTCTTCATTAAAATTTATAGGGCATTGATTCTAGTAATGTAATTGAGCTCTTCACTATAAAACTGCCAACCTGTGCTTCCATTTTAGGAATGAAATTTTATCAAAGAAAAAATTGCTTGGACGAAAAATCATCCTTTTCTTGTTTTAGACTGACTTCGGTAATGTCTTTGGCGGAGAATCGCTAAGAAATGAACGTCGCCAGCACAGGCTGAAAATTTTATTAATCAGCATGCTTCTGCAGATGATACAAGCGAACTATGGTGACAATCTAAGCAGTGAACCATTCGGTTATTCTGCCTCTACAGAGATTTTTCTAACAAATCGAAAATATTTCTTGCGATATTTGACATAAGCGCGACGCGATTTTCGAGATGCCAATCTTGTCTCCTAATTGAAATAAATCTCAAATCCATCTCGATAGTTATTAATAAAAAAGAGGGCTTTTTTCGAATTGATTAACCATCATCGGATAATTCGGATGTAATCAATGAGATATGAGACAAAGGAATGGCTAATTTGCCCGAAAAACAACGAATTATAAGCTGAGGCAATAAAGAATGAATCTAATAGATTACGATAGCCATAAAACAATAGCGAAAGCATACTGTAGCCCAAATTATTGTAAAGAAAAAAGAAAAATCCGGCACGATTATCGTTCGATGAGCAAAGTTGATGCGTTTTTTCTGCGTAATCGCCGTATTTAATTGAAATACTCCATTTTTTTGCTCATTTTGCACGAAAGATTTTTTTTAGCCTCTAAGATTTTGCTTTATGGCTTTACAGCAACAAATATTCGAAAAAAGCCTAAGGAGCGTTTAGCAAGCTTCCAAATGCTGTATATCACAAAAGGAGACTAATCAAAAACGCTTATCATTTGAAATAATCAGTGTTACTAAATTAACGATAAGAATTCGCTTTGT